TTTTCATTTAAGTTGAAACATAATTATGATATAAATTATTTAAATCGGAAATGTTTACATTTTGACAGATTAAGTTATCCGAAAAGCTATTATTTTTATATAAAAGAAATCCTTCTTTAATCTTTAAATTACTGGTATTTTTTTCTTTTTGTGTACGATCTCTGTAATTTAATCTAGATACTATTTCGATAAAAAATTTTCAACCAACACGAACCGAGTTGAATTATATATCCGACCGATACATGTGTTCGTTCCTAATCCTTAAGGAATGGAATGTGTTTTCTTTTATACGATGACCACTTACGAATTTTCCGATAGATTGAACGAGATCAAGTCGAGGATACTTGTGCTGATTCAATCGCGTTGCGATATAATATTCACGAGCTTGGTTTCTGGCAGCTTGATTTCTATATCTTATTGCTCCGTGATAACCGGTGGTTGTTTAACCCATGGGACCGAAGGTTCTCGGTAAGGTTTACGAGCAATCAAGGTTTACGATTGACCGAATCATAAACCTGCTTCCACCGCGACGAGATACGATTCTTGATCGTATAAGCCGAATCTCGAGCCGTTGGCCAAATTCCGAGCTGTATGTTGGTCAAATTCCGTACAAATGCAGCATTAATTCTACAGCCGCCCCTCGCAGAACGGGCGGTTCGCCGGTATCTCTCGATACCACCTCGAGGCATTGCAGAGACTATTCAGGATTCATATTTGTATCGCTCGTAGTTTGAAATTTCGGAGAGGTATACTTGATCCACTTTAGAGGGACTTGGCTGATCTTAAATCGCCTTAGGCGCTCTCTATACCCTTAACTGTTTCAAACAGAGCGCGTTGGTTAACCAGTGAAACTATTGTATAACGAGTCGTATTGATACAGTAATTTTGTAATAAATAAGTTTAAATTTCCAACTAAAGTAATGCAAAAGATACGATTTGTTTGAAATTTCTTTTAAGCATAAATATTCCAAAAAATAAATTTATATAAAAATTCAAAATTAGAATTATTCGAAAAATTTAGTGCCGTCATTTATTTGAACAATTATTCAAGTATTCATTCTGTTTGAGATCTTTTCTATTTGATTCGATTTTTATTTGAATTATTTATATATATAACAAGTAATAATTCTTTGTTATTTGTAGAGAATTATTTGGACATTATTTGAACGATAAAATTTTATTAATTTATCCTATATAAGTATTTACTTATAAGTATCAAATATTTTAGATAATTATTCGGATAATTATTTTTGAATCGTGATCTCTGAATATAACTACTTCTTTTAATCAGTTAAAAATGAAACAATATTTATTAAACTATATACTGATCTGTGTATAGAACAAATTTTTTAACGCCATTACACAAACCTATTTCTATTAAGTACAATAACTTGAGCGTGCAACTGAAATAATGCATCTTTCCCTCTCCATCTCTGTACACAGGATGTGGCTAGAGAATTTTTCTAACTTTAAGACAGCTTTTTACTCCGCGGTTCGCGTTCACTTTGCGAAGCACTCAGGAATATCGTCCGCGAACTTTTTGCAAATCCAACAAATTCCGTCCGGGAAACGCGAGCAGGCCGGGGTGAATAACGCCGTCAGGCATTTCTTAAAACGGCAGCGAGGTATAACTCGCCGGTTTCATATTATACATCCTCGGGCTTAATACACGCGTATTAAGGGATAAAATTTATAGGTCTAGTTTCCACAGTAAACTTAGCCGATATCTTGCCGGGAGGTGAAACAAAGAGTGGGTTCTCTCATTCGGTTGGTGCCCGCCACCACCGGAGACCCTCCCTCGTTTCCGCCATCTTCCTCACATTCCTTTATTCGCGGCTAGTTTACCCTCACCTTTTTATTTCTTTTCTTACCACCGTTCGCGTCGTCTCTCTGTTTCTGCGGTGGAGTGTCAGCCAAACGACAGCAAGAAAAGGCTGAAGGCTGCAGCCGAGGCGATAGGAATGTCTGCGAACGGCAAGGGGGTTGAAATAGAATAAGAGAAGGCGGATCATAAAGGTGCAAGGTAGACGTTGGAAGATAGGAAAAAAAAGCAATCGATTCCGAGACATGGCCGTGGGATACGCGAAGAAATCGGCCGTTCATTCAGCTCCATAGTCCGATGGAGGAAAGAAGCTTAAATGGTTTTTCCATGGCCGAATCCGGGTCTAAACGTGTTGAAACTTTTTAACGAGCTCGTTAGGGTTCCGCGAATAGCCGGGAAATTAATTATCTTTGAAAAGCCGTCCGCTCATCTATGGGCATACGACGTTCTCGTTCTCTTTTTCAACTTCTTTGTCGTTTTCGCTTGATGACTGCGCATTCGCACGTGCGTCTATAGATGATGGTCGAATTTTTTTGTTTTTTACGGAAAAATGTAAAAATTAGTCCCTTTTATAAAATTAAGGTTCGTTAAAGAAGTTTTTCCTCCAGATAAATACGTATAAAATTACAAACGATATAAATTGATATTAATATTATTTTTATTTTTTTGAACGGGTAAAATATTTGTGAACGTGTAATATAAATACGGATTTATTAGATATTCTAATATATTGCAAATTATTTTTTGTACAATTAATCTTTCAACACGTTATAATCTGGTTTAGTTTTCTTCAAAAATCAATAGTCCACATGGAGATCTTTAATAATTTAGACTTTAAATGTGATACTTACCGAGATTTCGGGAGAGGACCGAAATAAGTAAGAACTCGGTCGCTTTTGCAACAACGGCTTTCGTTCGATCTGCCGTAGATTTATTTTAGATACCAGTATAACTTTCGAAACCTTATAGGATATTAGTTACGAGGCTCGCGTTTCATCGATTCTATTCTGTTCGCACAAGAATGGTCATTAAATCGGTTGAACGAGATTCTGTACGAGATCGGCTCGATTAACTCTCCGATTGTATCGCATTGCTATAAATGAAATTTGGCATTTCACACATTTTCAAGTATCTTTCGTAAAGCGTATTATTTCTTAGTAGAAACGTAATTGAATTTCTGTTTTTTTAATCTGGATAAAAAAACTAGCGGATATGTGTGCGTTTCTGACATTAATTTTTTTTAATAATTTGCGCGGTGAAATGAAATTTGCCACGCAGTTGCAAATTAACGTGCCATATCGTTATGGCACGCAGGAAATTGTGCGTTCGAAGCTTCGAATGCATAATCATCGAGCTGGTCGCTATGTCAAAATTTTGTCGCAACACAATTCACGCGAGGGCGTGAGACAAAAAATCTTGCGATTCATCAGAATCGACGGTGCGATGTACCCGTGGTATAGAATTAAAAAGTTCATCGTTCAATTCAATATACGTCGACGTATACTTATCGGCGTATCAACTTCGATTGTGCAAAATCGTAGGAAATAGTATACTTATGGTATACTTATATAATATCGAGCAACGTATTCTCGTCGATTTGGTCGACGCCACTAGAGAGTTACTTCGCGATTTAGCCTCATTCGTAGTGTCCTCGGACATCATGATTGGTCAAGCCCACCATCTGAAATCGGTGGTCGGTGAGGCTAAAAGAAGACGAAAAGTTCTGAAAAAAAAAAATCTCTCGCAACAGAGAGGGTACCGCTTGACAATCGAAATACGTGAACTTTTAGCTATATCCGTCGATACGACTTTGTGTACGCTTTTGCGTCTAGATTAAAAAGTATCGAGGACACTCGGTGACCTGGTTCTTCGATCCGACATGGCTGGCTTGACATGCTGGGAGGAATAATATGTTTTTCGACTTCAGGTACCATATGTACAAGTTGTCATTCGCACACACACACACACGCATGCACGCATGTCGCATCGCTCTCTCGTTCACAGTTTTATACTCTCAACAATCGTTCAACACTCATAATTGTCCGTTTTGTCGCACTTACAATCGATCTCATGATGTATTACATAAATTATTGACTAAGACAGTTTTTTTTGGTTCCGGCTTCGACGAGGAAATCGCTGAGTACAAATTTAACATCAAGTGTATGCCCGTGGCTAAATTGTTAAACATTTATACAAACGCGTTGGTCTTTGTATCGCAGTGATAAGGTGCGTGTTTCCGCCTCGTTGCGCCAATTTCGACGTCTCATACTTCGTTTTTAACCATCTTCCAACCGCATTGACATTTTGACTAACAGTCAATTAACTTTTTTATTAACGAAGCACGCGAGGCATGCTTTCTCATTCAATCATCGCAATGACGAGTGTACGTATCAGTACCGTAACGTTATAATTAGATAACTATAATGGTTTTCCATTATTTTATAAAATTATACTTCATTTTGCACTTTATTTTTATTATTAAGTTTAATTTCGATTGCAAAAAACTCACGTTATTAAGTTTAATTTCGATTGCAAAAAACTCACATTATTTTTTTAAATAAATTTCCAAGTAAATTTTTGAAATTAAATAGGTAATGAGTCAAATAATTAACATAGAGAGCTAATTACGATGTAAAAATTCTATTTTAAATTATGGAACTTGTAGTAAGTTCCACATATATTATTCAGCAAATTACATTGTGCGTAATTTTGCGTGTATTTCATCATATATAGCATATATTTATGGCATATATTTGTGTATGTGATTTTGCTTCTATGGTAAGTAATTAAATTGTACAATAGCTCGCCAATAACTCGTTCGAGTAATCAATAGCATTACAATAGCACTCGCACTAGCTTCAAATTAATGGACCATTTCTTCATTAATGCACACTACACTGTTATTATTGCTATTATCGATTAGGCTGAATACGGATAATAAATATGATGAGAATTGTTTCAGATGTAAAGCAAGTCGATTGATATAGATCAAATTAAAACTTTTAAATTAAATCTTAATTAATCTCTATACATATATACAAGAGAACAACTAGAGCCGTAATTAATCAATCCCAATTGCGATTTTTCTCCGAAAATATATAATAATAATAGTAGAGAGAATTTTGAATGTGCGAAACAGATCGATCATTAGAAGTTAGATCTTATTTTATCTGTCAAGAAATAATTTGACAATGCTTGATCTAATTGCAATTCTTATTCGCGGCTTTAGTCACGGTACTAAACGTTTCACTGGCCGTCTCGATATCCTTCGCGAACACTCACATCTCAGGGCTCCAGGATCTTTGGCGGAAATCGAGTTTATCTATCTACTTACGTACAAAGATGAGAATCTTGGATAACGTCGAGAAGGATCGAAAGGATTAAGAGAGAGAGAGAGAGAAAAAGAGAGAGAGAGGGGGGGGGAGAGGATGTGTGCATATATGTATGTGTGGACATTGTCTTTGGGAGATGTGAGGAATCGCGAAATTGGGGATGGGTGAATGGGGTGAAGATATAAAGGGTAAGTTTTACTTTTGCTGGCAGTGAGCTTCTTCTCTTGATTGCTTCTATCCCTTTCTCTCTCTCTCTCTCTCTCTCTCTCTCCCTCTCCTCCTTTTTCGTCCTCTCTTCCTCTTTGTTTCCGCTCCGATCATTCGATCGTTTACGTTTCACAGCGTTCGCCAGGAGAGGATTCCGACAGCTTAAGGTGTCATCAGATTTTTTATGTTATAACGGCAGTACTCGCGACCGATTATGTCCTCGTGCGGGATCTCCTCCTCCAGCGGCTCCATCCCCTTCGAGGCCAGTTCGTCGCGAATCTGTGCACACACAGAGAATGCTACGATGTAATAAATGTGATTTATTGACTGTAAAAGCATAGCTTACGGTGATTTATATGTTTTAGCCTCTTAATAAGCGTTACATAATCGTCGACATCCATCGAGAGTTCGGCGCTCTCATGGAACAATGCTATACCAATCATGGTTTGCAGTCGTCGATCGCTCATTGTAATCCGCGTACATGTCTATGAATTCGCCGTAAGTGGATCAATAGTCCGCGATGACGATAATACTCCTAGATTAAGAATTACGAAGGGTTTCGAAGCGGTTGGATACTAAGGAGATTAAACTGCTCACACACAAACATACACGCGCATCAGTGAGAATCGATATATTTACAAAGCGCTCATCGCGTGCTTGGAAGCCCAGTTCTCCCCATTTTTCTTTCGGTGCATTCCGGTGGAAAAAAGCCGATGAATTTTGACGTTATGCCGCGCTTCTGAAGGGCGCGGCGAAGATGGAAGACCGCGCACGTCGCAAATGTTCTCGGGAAAAATCACCAGGCGCGATTGCCGTTGTAGGAAGCAGGGAGATAAAAAGGCGCCACCGGGGTTGGGTTACGATGAAAGGCAAAGACGAGCGCGCGCGTAAGGGAGAAAAAAGGTCGCGTATTTCACACGAGCACATGCACGGTGCCCATCAATTTTCGGTGAAGCCCATTAACTTTCCACGGGCTTTACCCGAAAATGAAGCTTTCGACCGCTGGCGAACGCATCCGTGTTGCTCGTAACATCGCCGATATCGGTCGGAAATTATTATATATGTATATATCCCACGTGAGGAGAGATTAACATATTTATAATCTACTATATATATCGACATTAATTTATATGCGAATTTATACGATAACAAAACGGGATTGATGATAATATAGATTCGAGAAAAAGCTTTATGTTTTGAGGGACTTCTCTTTTGATTTGTAATATTTGCTATGCTTTTATATTTTCATCAGCTAATTATATTCGGGATGTTTGTTATAATTTTATGGAGTTTGATAATATTATAGGTAGATGTGTATAATACGTTTTAATTAAACAGATACGAAGATTAATAATGTTGCAACTGCAACATTCGGGTGAAAGGAACGAATGTTTCGCGAGAGAAGGAAGAGATATAAAAAATGTCATTGAATTTAAGTTTCTTTCTGTGCTTTTTTTCTGACGCTTCGCAGAGTAAAACTCTTTTATAGCGCAAAGAGAGAGAAAGAGAGAGAAAGTTTTTCTGATTCGTACGAAAATAATTCGGTCCAACGTCGGAATGTAAAAAGATTTTATTGACTTGAAAGTACCGGCCGCACTTTTTTCTCACGCTTTGCAAAATTTATTTTGTTTTCATAAAGTAAGAAAACGACGTTCTCCGTCTCCCGGGTCAATTTCGGTGGAATACATATTAGGGCAGCGTAGCGTAAATTTCATTCTTGCCCGAAATTTATCTTGCGGTTTGTTTCAATTAAACGACTGCCACAGCAAGACGGCACGCTATCACAAATATTTACATCATGAAAATGCAATTGCAATTTCTCGGTCTTTAGTTATCTACATTGAAGAATCAATACTGTACATCGAAGAGATTGGAAAACATATACATGTAACTCAAAATTAAGAAACGGGAGCAATTTTCCTATTATGAGCGGGATAAAATGCGGATGAGAAATGAGGAGAAGCTTAAGTTGAATATTGCACAGGGTTTTGTAGTGGCGAAATATTGATGGCACACCGATAATAGTGTTGGTATGCGTGATAATAGCTGTTTGTCGGTGGTTTCGTTAACGAAAATGATATATTAATACAAGGGGAAATGAAAAGAAAAAAGATTAAAATTCAATTCCGCTTTCTATACATACATCGATAACTTTTTCTCACGGAGTTTTTAAACAATTAGTATATTATAATTTATGGATTGGATCAGTCATTTTAGAAAGAATGTTAATATCTATTATAAAAAAATATATATGTAGTAAAAAAAATATATGTAATTAAAAAATTTTATTTTCTATTTCTGTTTTTATTTTAATGGCTGAAGTGAATAAATTCCTTTCTCTCTCTCTCTCTCTCTCTCTCTCTCTCTAAAATGAGAAGAATCAATTATTATAATTTATTTTAGAAAGAAAAAAAAAGAAAAGAAACTGTGTAAAAGAGAGCTTTGTTCGCCATTAGCGTCTTTCGGAATGGCACGACGATTTACATAATGCGAGTGTGTACGACACTGATTCCATTACGCCCGAGGAATTTCCATCGCTGTTTCCGGACGACTCCTTGCGGCGAGCGTTCGGCGAATGCGTCGCGGTCTTACGAAACAGTATCAAAGTTTCTACGAATTCCATCCCCCGTACGAAGAACAATAGCGAAATTGAATTTCAAGGTAACGTAATCGCCATCATTTTGTTCGCCACATCGCGCCGTAGGCATGGCCATTATTTCAGCAATTACGACGTTTCTCGCCTGCCGTGTAACCCGGACCGCCACCGTCGGCGGTGGAAAACGGCGATGAGATGAGTCGAAATTGCTCAAAGGATTCGCCCTTCGCTGAACCTCGTCGACTTTACTGCGATGAGAAAAGCGAAGAGCAAGTAAATGTATGATTGTATATATGTATGTATATGTATGTGTGTGTATGTGTGCCTCAGGTAAGAAGGTACGATGATTTCTCCGCGAATTTGCACATTGAGAATTAATGGCAACGTGCCGTCTCTCGGTTGGAAGAAACTCGATTCATAAGCGCGGAATTTTCACGTGCTACAAATTATCCCCGCGGGCATAAAGTAAATCACATTTTCATATTTCGATAATCAAATAATATTCGTCGGAGCCGGATCTGAAAAACTTGCACGCGTCGAATTAAATTAGAACAATTTGAAAGGGCGCGATTATATGTAGGTACGTTTCCATTAGGTTCGCATTGTGTCACGCGGATCCGCAGCTTTTTTCCGCGACGCCTCGTCCCTCGAAGTCGCGAGTGAATTTTTTGCGCGAAACGACGATAAATCATCCCGAAGAATTCAGAGGGTAATTTTAATTCGCCGGTTATCCAACGCGATCGCGCGCGCGCGCTTGAATCTTTGTTCTTACGGAAACCGACGACCTCGAGAATTGTTAGGCGAATGCAAAATTCACGCTTTTGCGGGCAATTTACCGCGGCGCGTTTATTATGTTATAATCCGAACGTGTAATGCACATTCTTCTCTAAATATAATAAATGGCTCTTGCTTTGGACAAATAACCGCGTGTTCCGTTGACCACGCACAACACCACGATTAAATTATCACAGTAATTTCAACAACGGCCATTCTGAGCGTCCTCAAACATCCGGAACATCCGGCACACATAATTTCTCACATCATTCCTGTCGGGGCGTGTACTACCGGATAATATCTGGACTGAAACATTTTCAGGCGCGACGGAATTCTCGTAGGACGATCTGCATTCGACTGTACTCCGCAAAACCGGACATTTAATGTTGAAATATATACAGAACATTAATCGAGTGGTCAAAATGTAGAAGTCGGATTAAATTAGAGGAAATTTAATTTAATTTTAGTTAAACATTCGAGAATGATGAGGTGAATTTTAACCATGCGTTTTCATTAGTGAATTTTGGCAATATTATAATCAGATAAACGAACGCGAACGGAAGAGATTCGACCAATTATATCATTTTTAATCCTTTGTGCACTGCAGCTTTAATCCATTGCATCTGTGTTGATAGTTATTATTATTTTTTTTTTTTTTATATAGAAAACGAGAAAAAAAGATTATTTTATTATTGATTACTTTCATCATTTTGTTAAACTGGAAACAATAACGATTCTCGTATAACTTTGCGCGCAAGAAAACTGAATGATTTGAGCGTTAAATTTTAATAAAAGTGTCAACAAGCAAAAAGGTGTCAGATGCAACGGCTTTCCTTTGAACATTCAAGCTTATCTTTCTCGAAATATTATAAGACGTCAGTGTGTTGAGCGATGTTGAACGATGCTTCAGAGCCGTTTAATACACACGTCATATGTAGTCGTGGCTATACGAATGCGCGCTTACAAGAGAGAAAAAAAGTGGGAGAAAGAGAGCACACATCATTGGATAGGTTAGTAGATCTTGCCAGCTGGTTCTACGACTGGCAGGGCTCCAAGGGAGCAAAAATCGCGATCCGCTCGACCGGGTTCTCTCTCGTCTGATGATGCACCGCGTGCACCACGCCGGATGCATGATTTGTGTGCTTTATTAAATCCGATATTGGTCGACTCGGGTAACCCGAACCAGGCCATCGGTTATTTCGCGGCGGAAACGAGCGCTCCTTTTTCCGTTCTCTCTCTCTCTCTCTCTCTCTCTTTTCGTCGCAGCGACTTTTTCACCTTCGACACGCGTCCACTTTTTTCATCAAGTGAGAAGCCGAACGCACGGCAAAGAATGGTCTTATTCTTTTCTCTTTTTTGAGACTGGAAAGAGTAATTTACCTTTTCCACCGCCTTGAACACCCGTATAAGATTCAGACCAGCCAGTTTCTGGATGTCTCTCTCCGACCAGTTACGCGCTAGCAATTCCGCAAAGAGCTCTGGATACTTGCTGACATCCTCCAGACCCGTTGGTGTCCTAAGGGAGAAAATTTATGATGAGATCTTATTGAGAATCGCAGATGAGACTGCGATGTGATCGATTAAGATTAAATCGCAATAGATCGAGAAATGTCTTCTTTCTAGGAGTAAAAGTTCAGAAAATTCGGGACATTAAAGATATTCGGAGACAGTTTTGAAGCATATATAATTATAATAGTATTTAATTATTCTGTCGGGATTCACATTGTTAATATTAAGCTTTTAATATTTTATGGAGAGACACTAGGCCAGGGATGGAGTTTGAGGGTGAGAGGGTGCTAACAGGACCCTGGATTCCGGTGGAGAGGGCCAAGAAATATCGGTGTAAAAAAAAAGCTTTTAATATTTTTATCGAACATTTAAATTTTTTAATGCAAAGTGTTGTGATACATTTAATAATATTATGAAAATAATAATTATTATTTTGATATAATAAATTAATCAATATTAAATTAATCAAAAATTTCGCTTTTCTTTTATATAAAAAAATGAACAACTTCTCCAGCTGTGGGGAAATGATAGCTGGTAATTCATTAACACGCGGTGATTTATAGCCGCAAATGTTAATAGAAAGATATGGGACGAAAATAATTTTGTCTCTCCCTTTTCATCTCTGAAAATATTGTTTTAAAACACTGCACCCACCGCGATAAATTTTTGTCACCGGGCGCGAGCTCGACTGCATCATAAAAGTCGATATGGAAATAATGTCCGTTGTGTAAAGCGCCACAGCTTGTGAATGTACGGTGCACCTAAGACCACAATTTACATGAATATTTCCGCTCGATAAGATAGGGCTTTAATGAAGCAGAAAACTCCAGGAGTTTAAATTAGAAAACTGCTTGAAACTTTTATGGTTCCACCTTCGTACTTTACATATTTCCGTATTATCTTAATTTTATTGCGTGCAATTCTTCGCGGTGCGATTCTGCTATCTATATATACACCGAGATATAGTGGATTATATTTTCGTTCACTTTTGCATTATTCAGTGCGTATAAGTGTGACATTTTGACGCACGATCGCTTTATAAAAAGCAGTCATGTGTTATGCATGCAAGCGGCGTGAACAAAAAAAGTTAATTAATATGTCTCTGTACGCATTAATGATGCGGCTTTTATCATATTTTTAATGTGATTTGAGATAGTGTCTCTATGTAGAAGCAACTTCTGCCGATGGATTCTTCTGTAAAAGATACTGGAAATAATCACATTAAGCTTCACTGTAATGTTTATTATTGATTAAATATCGTTTATTCATATTCTCTCTTTCCCATATTCTCTCTCGGATACATTTCGCCCGAACAAATGTTTAGTTTGAATTATTTTGCAAAGTACCCGGGCGAAGATCCCGCGTTTCGCGATATGAGAATTATCTCTGCTTTCAACCGTTGCGTTATGCTTCATCCAATTTTTGTCTGGAATAATTATTTGCAGACTATTACCGTTGCAAAAATTGAATGTACATACGAAAGGCATCAGGAGGCAGAAGAGAAGTGAATTCGCGCGGAAGAAGGTCAAAGTACAATAATGAGCTAGTCGGGAAGAAGCAGTCAGGGATAAATTACATGAGTTACTTCGGGCGGTTTATCCTTCATTACTTTAATTACTAGTACGCCGGATGACTGTGACCAACTTGCTTTACCGCTGAGAAAGGCATGCCGAGAAAGCAACTCCTTTTGCCTTATGCGATCCTTACTCATGAAACTAGGAAATGTGCTATTAGATCGAAATTCTCGAGCCAATTTAATGCTAGCGTAAAAAAAAAATGGATTTGGCAGAAAAAATATTTTTTGTAAAAATATTTTTGTAATTAAAATCGCAAAAAGTTATAAGTTTCTTTATTTATTTTAACAAAAGAGAGATTGTTTCAAAAATATTGCACTTAAATTTTTACTTTAATTTGCCATCTTTTTTAATATATATATATATAATTATTAATTTACATTTCAATTATAGCAGGAAAGAGATCCATGTGTTCTCGAAGTTCGAGAATATCGTCTATCTACTTTATTTAAGTTTATTGGGATATTTCAGGAAATATCAAATAATCGTTTATCGTTCTCACATTCGTCTACAATTTTGTTAATTTATCTTTGGAATCATTACGCGAACATAGTCGGTATCTTCCTCATGAAGATACGTTGAATCGCGGCGCTGACGACAAATGGGAACAAACCGATAAAAGGGTTTTAAGCTGAATTTCGACGTTCTCATTATGGGAGTTATAACAAAAGTTCGTACAAGACCCAATGACAACAGCACGGAAATGGGTCGGAGGGAAGGGAAACTGCTCGCTGACAATGTCGGATCAACAAGAGC